TGCCAAGTGGACAGACACCATTTAACGATCAGCAATGCAGTTGGATACAACATTCGTCAGCGCGCGCATATATAAACAAACACTCGAGTAGAGGAGAAGAAGTGAAGTGTTAGCAAAGTGTTTTCACTTGCCCATAAGCAATGCAGCGCCCACTCTTGCCTCTTTTTCTTCAAGCGTTTTTTTTTGCCAATTGGCGACTTTTCATATGTATGTACATACTTAATTTTTTTTCGAATGTATGTATGTCGGTACGTATTGTATTTTCTTTTTCTGCTTCAATGCAGTTTTTCGCACACCCATATGAACGTTTTTGCCGTCGGCCTGGTCCGTACATAAGTACCAATTTATAACCGTTTAATAACCATTCATGTAATTTTTATTGGTTTTTTATGCATTTGTACTTATGTATGTACATACATACATATATATATGCACACGTATATACATACATAAGTGCTTAGTATGCAATTTTCATTTTTAGCAAATTTTGAATGCAGTAAAGGCAGTAATTGCCAAGTAAGCAGAATTTTTTCTGGTGGTTTTGGTTTCAATTTCTGCTCCATAGCTTTTAAAATACGAACATTTCTTGAAAAGCATTTTCTTGGTAAACGTATGGTTTGTCATTAACAAATTTAATGAAGTTTTAAGAATTGGTGCAGCTGTGTTTTATTGAATAAAGAGAAATAAAAACAGCAATATTATTTTTAATGGTTTTCGTTCGAGATTAAACACTTTTTGTGTTGCAAAACATCTTTCGATTGTTTTTTTTGGAAACTACATATTTGAACAAAGATAAATATTTCCTTTTTGGCTGTTGTTGTTTCCGACGGGTTGAGTGTGTGATGTATTTTGGAACGAATTTCCGTCATCCCTTGTCAAATTTGGTTTGGAGACAAACCGGTTTCGGCTTTGTGCCATCTTCAGTGTCATTTTTCGGAGAACGAAATTCGTTCCAAAATACAAATATTGATGAAAATTATGAGATATGAAAATTTTTTAGGAGTCCTAAAGTCGATTTTGTAACAAATGCTTCAAAACAGATCAACCAAACGACAGAAAACAGCTGAAACTTGTTTCATATTTTTAAATTTAAATATGGATGATATTCAAACGTAACTTAATCCTTGGAATGGGATACTAGGACCACAAAAAGAATTTATTCGTCGTTTTATACCTCATCATGCGATTGCGCATACTTAGTAAAAGAAAAGTTTATACAAATGCAAATAAAGAAATAAACAGCTTACTAGGTTTAAAGAAGAAGAAGACATTCGTAACGGTATAAGTTCCGACATTGACTGCGATGTGGATGATGCAAGTACCCAAAGCAACAACAATACCAAGTGCGACGTGAAAGTTTTTTTACTTGAAACATGACCCTCTCAGAGTTTTCGAATTTCACGTGAAAACCTTGCGGGTGC